GGGTGGAATGGGGGGGGGTGGACCTGAATTAAAAAGAAGGTTGAACTCGATTTTAGTGCAGAACAGGGAAGAAACCTGGATTTAAAAGAAGGTTGAACTCGATTTTAGTGCAGAACGGGGGGAACCTGGATTAAAAAGAAGCTTGACTTTGATTTCAGTGCAGAATTGCTTGGGCGGTGAATATGGATTGAAAGGAGAGGGCAGAAAGGGCCAGCCGGCAAAATCCAGTTGAAAACTGCACTGGAAGTGGATTGTTTAGTGTGTGTGACCGCATCCTCAGGTACCCTCTACACTGCATGCTGCTTTCACTTTCTTTGATCATCGGGTTTTATGGTACCGGCTGCATAGATTTATGGCCGCTCAGGGGTGACTTTGCAGTCGGTACGGCGTTGCCCCGGTGTATTTGAATGTGGTTTTGAGCTGCACCTTTCCCCTCCCAGTTGAGAAGACGTGAAGCAAATGCCAGATGCAGCATCGCCCTCTCTCAGCCTAGCTTAATTCATGGGGTTGTTGTGAGGATATAATACAGGAGGAAGACATCCGCTTTGGGTCCCCATTGGGGAGAAATGTGGGGCACAGAGGAAATAAAGAACTTGTACCCCGCCTTCCTTTCCAGTGGGGACCCGAAGCAACTTGTGTCATTCTCTTCTCCCTGCGGGGTAGGTTAGGCTGAGAGTGTGTGACTGGCCCAGGGTCGCCCAGCAAGCTTCCATGGCACAAATGGGGATTCAAACTCGGGGCTCCCAGATACTAGTCTAGGGTTGCCAGCCTCCAGGTGGTGGCTGGAGATCTCTTGCTGTTACAAGCGATCTCCAGGCGACAGAGGTCAGTTCACCTGGATAAAATGGTTGCTTTGGAAGGTGGCTTCTATGGCGTCATACTCCAATGAAGTCCCTCCCCGCCACAAAACCCACCCTCCTCAGCCTCCACCCCCAAAATCTCCAGGTGTTTCCAAACACTGTTAACACATTACACCACGCTGGTCTTGAGAGGTATACGGCTTGTGTCAGCACACAAATCTATGCAAGAAAGCCCTCTTCATTCAGCTAGTAATTCCACCGTGGAACTCATTGCCACAGTGAGGACTGCTTACCTTAGATGGCTTATAAAAGGCGGAGTTCTGTTAGATGGGTTCTTGGAGGAGTCCACCGATAACTACCAGCTGTCATGACCAAAGGGGATCTCTGCATCCAGAGGTAGTGAAGTTCTGAATACTAGTGCTAGGAGGAAAGTGGGAGGGGGGGGTTGGTCCATACACCCTGTTTTGTGGGCATGACTGATTGAGATGGGATGCTGGACTAAATGGGTCAGGGCCCTCCTTATATTCTTGCTTATTTAGAGCATTTCTGTACTGCTGTTCCTCTGAGGATCTCATCAAAAGCATACATGACTCTCCATTCCTCCGTTTGATCCTCACAACAGCCTTGTGAGGTAGGTTGGGCAGAGAGAGAGAGAGAGAGAGAGAGAGAGAGAGAGGCTGGCCCAGGGTTTCCTAGTCAGCTTCATCATGAGTGAGGATTGAACCTTGGGGTTTTCCAGCCTGAACAGGCCAGACTAGCCTGAGCTTGTCAGAGTTGGGAAGCTAAGCAGGGGTCAGTCATGCTTGGAAAATGATAAAGGAAGACCTGGGTTGCAATGCAGGGAAAGCTGTGCCAAAGCACCTCTGATCTCTTCCTTGAAAACCCCATGAAGGGTTACCACGAGTCAGTCATGACTTGATGGCACCTATTTTTTACTTTCCTGACCCTAGTCTAACACTCTGAACATTGCTCCACCCTGACCATCTTGTGGAGGTGCCGTTTTATCTGTTCTGGCTAGCATCCATTGATGAAGTTCTCCATTAATGTGTCTAATCCTCTTATGAAGACTGGCAGACTAATGGCCAATGGATGCAAAGGCATGGGGGGGGGCCTTAAAGTTACAGCTGGCCTAGGAATCCAAGAGGTTGCCTTTGAAAGTCTTTAAGCATTTTTCTTGAATCTTTAAGCTTTCCTGTTGGGTTTCTGAAACTTTTGTACAACCAATGTGGGGATTTGTTCCCACCTGGGCAATTTCTACCAGAGCATTTGTAGCCTGTGTGAGGAATGAATGGTGTCAGATACTTTAATGTTTCACTTGCAGTGCCAGTCTAAGCAGAATTATAGCCTTCTAAGCCCATTGAGGTCAGTGGGTTTAGGAAAGGTGTAATTTTGCTCAGGATGTTGGAAATTAGTACCTAGCTGGCAACAAAGGCCTTGCTGGTAGTCAAAATGCCTGAAACTCTTTTCTCGTCCGTCCACCCATCCCCAAGCAACCTCCTGTTCCCTCCCTGGCACTAGTTACTCGCGGGCCGCATAACAGCCCTGGATGGGCCAGTTCCGGCCCCCGGGCCTTATGTTTGACACCCCTATTCTGGGAGATACTTGCATGTAAGGAATTCAGATTTTATCATCATGGCTGTCCAGCCTTTCAGCTATGCTACTGTCCCCCGCCCTCCAAATGCATTCTGGGTAATGAAGGCAGTAATCCTGAAGAGCCTTCTGCTAGCCTTCCACATGTGTGCGTTCGGCTGCTGAATGTCAAGACTCCTTTGTAGCTCGTAAACAAGGCACTTCGTCTCTTGTGGATTCAGTTTTTCCAAACAGTGGATAAAGCAGAGGGAACTAGCTCCTGCCACACTCCTGTATTGTTCTTAAGCATAGCAGTAGTGTAGTATGAATGGGAATATAATGATTTTTTTCTTTCAAAATATTCATAGTTTTCTGGTTATATGGATTTTTTCATCATGTTAAGATTTTATTAGGATGTAACGAAAGCCTACTAAATAGTAAGGCCTTTCCCTTGTAGGTTAGAGTATCTTTCTAGCTGATGCTAGCAGACAAGAAAACAACATTCTTTGGGTATAGAACTGGGGTGTCGAACTCATTTGTTATGAGGCCCGGATCTGACATAAATGAGACCTTGTTGGGCCGGGCCATGTGTGTCCTAAACTGTAATGCCAGGTAGCGGAGATATAAACTTCATAAAGGACACAAACACAAAGGGGTTTTTTAACTTAAAATCAGGGCTATTTTTGGGCAGGAACGCACAGGAACGGAGTTCCAGCTGGCTCCCAAGTTGGCCACGCCCAGCAGGAACTCATTAGCATAATAGGCCACACCCAACAGCAGGAACTCATTAGGATTGGCTACATTAGGGGTGTGTGGCCTAACATGCAAAGGAGTTCCTGCTACAAAAAAGCCCTGGGTTTTGACAACAAACAAGGTAAACAGAATAAGAAGCAAAAGGTGGGTGTGGCTGGATAACCACACTTCTGGTAACATGGGGGTGTGGCCTAATGTGCTAATGAGCTGTGCTGTCAGGGGTGTGGCCCAATAGGCTAATTAGTTCCTGCTGTTGGGTGTGGTCTATTATGCTAATGAGTTCCTGGTGGGCTTTTTCTACAAAAAGAGCCCTGCTGAAAATAAAAACATGCTCAAAACATTTGCACAGCAGTGGGAGGATTAATGACCCACTCTTTCTCTCTGACAGGCTGAAGGCTCTAGAATGGCAGGAGAGCAGAAACCATCCTCTAATCTCCTTGAGCAGTTTATTCTATTAGCCAAAGGCACCAGCGGGTCAGCTCTGACGGCCCTCATCAGCCAAGTGCTGGAGGCCCCCGGGGTTTACGTCTTTGGAGAGCTGCTGGAGCTGGCCAACGTGCAAGAGGTGAGCGTGGCGAAATGTGCGACTTGTCCCCCCCCTCCCCCAGTCCTTCCGTTGCAAGCAGGGTCCCCTGCTAATGGGCAGTAAACCAGATGGGATCGAGGCGAAAGGGAGGGCTTCTGCCGAGGCCCCATGTTTCACTGTGGCTGTCTTGCTCTTGTTAGTAAAGCATACCCTGCCGAACCTGAGTCAAGGCAATCCTGGCATGTAGGTCCCGCAGCTTTCCTTCCGTCTCTGAAGAGCTGGTGCCTAAAGAACTTAGGCCATCTCCTCTGAACTGAAAAGAGGCCTCCATCCCCGTGTGCCCTGTTGGGACGGTGTGACGTCCTCGCTTATTGGGGAGGTGGTTTTACCTTTAAAACACTCTCTGTGTACAAGCATGGACGGCTTCAAGAGGGAACTAGATAAGCATATGGAACATATGGAGCAGAAGTCCATCAGTGGCTATTAGCTACAAGGTGTAGATAGGAACTCTCAGTCTGGGGCCAGTGAGGCTCTGTATTCTCTGTATTCTTGGTGCTTGGGGGGGTGTCAATAGTGGGAGGGCTTCTGGAGTCCTGGCCCCACTGCTGGACCTCCTGATGGCCCCTGGTATTTTTGGGCACTGTGTGACACAGAGTGTAGGACTGGATGGGCCATTGGCCTGATCCAGCATTGGCTTCTCTTATGTTCTTAATCTCTAATTGGTACCAAGCAGGTAGCATTATGGAAGCACCATTTGACTCAGCGCATCTCTCATTGGTGTCAGTAACTACACATGTTTATCTGGTCTTCAGAACACTGGGAGCGTTAGAGAACGCTGGGACCCTTTCTGGCCTCGCTTACGGAGAGCTAGCTGATAAGGGCTGTGATTCACCTTAAACTTTGCTCTCGGCGTCCTCTCCTGAGTCTGTCTCCCCCATTTCTCTGTCAGTGTAATGCTGGAGGACAGGGTCTGATGTGAAGGCATGCAAAGCCATCCTGATCAGGTTTTGTTTTGTTTGCTTCTTCAGTTTATAGACCGCTCTCCCCTACACGCAGGGCTCAGGGCGGTGAACCACATTTCAATAAAATTACAATCGAAATCAACAAACAGTTATAACATTCCAGTAGCTATTACGAGGTGGCGCTTACAGACCAATTCCTGCCCTTGCTCCGTAAAGGGAGGGCAAAGGAGGGGAACCATTGCCGCCCTCAACCATAGGCCTGGTTGCTGTTCTCAGCCGTAGGCAGGGGTCATTTCCTGCAGGAGCGCACAGGAGCAGAGCTCCGGCAGTAAAGAGCCCAAGGGGCGGGCACATGCAACAAGCCCCACCCCCTGCTCCCAGCAGCCCTCAGTCAGAGCAAGAAGCAGCCAGGTAAGTTGCAGAGCCCCCACGGTCCAAAACAGTCCAGTGGGACCTTTAAGACTAAGTTTTATTTAGGTACAAGCTCTCCCTCCTCTGCGAGGACAGACCTGCACCCCCCCAATAGCTAGCAATCCAAAACAGTCCAGTGGAGCCTGAACGGTGGGTGTTGCCTTCTTCTGACACACTTCCGGTGATGTCAGGGGGTGTGGCATATGCTAATGAGTCATGCTAATGAGCTCCTGCACCTCTTTTTCTACGAAATGACCCCTGCTTACTATTATATCTGGGATAAAGCGCAATTATAACCTTTACAGTCATATGCGTTTATTTATCCATTACAAATTTTTGCACGGTATAACCTTGTTTAAGTTAACTATTCATAGCCGTGTCCTGTGTTCCCTCTAAGCTCCGTTTTATCCGTGGTTGAGTGGGAATTCGAACGTGGGTCTCCTAGGTAGCCGCGTGCTCTGAGCCGCGGCGTCTCAGAGGGGCCCTCAACTAAAAGCCTGGCGGAACGTAAGCTAAGACAACAATGGGTGAGCCGGAGACTAAAAAACTGTGAGCTGGCTCACACCAGCTCAGCTTAGAGGGAACACTGGCCGTGTCCCCTGTTTATCCATGATTGAGTGGGAATTTGAACGTGGGTCTCCTAGGTAGCCACGTGCTCTGAGCCGCCGCGGCTCAGAGGGGCTCTCAACCAAAAGCCTGGCGGAACGTCTGTACCTTACAGGCCCTGTGGAATTGCATCAAATCCCGCAGGGCCCCAACGTTCGGCAGAGAGTTTCACCAGGTCGGGGCCAGCATCGAGAAGGCCCCGGCCCTTGTCGAGGACAGCCAGACCTCCCAAGGGCCGGGAATCACCAGCAAGTTGTTATCGCCCACATTTATTTATTTATTTATACCCCGCACACTCCCCCTACTGGCGACTCAGGGCAGCTCACGACATTTAAAATACACAGCGGCATTGATCATCATGTCCGTTTCCCAATAGTCTCACGCAATCCACGCTGGTGGTAGTCCTGCACAGCTGGCACAGTTTGAGAGCCAGTCTGGTGTAGTGGTTAAGTGTGCGGACTCTAATCTGGGAGAACCGGGTTTGATTCCCCACTCCTCCACGTGCACCTGCTGGTGTGACCTTGGGTCAGTCACAAGTCCTTTTCAGAGCTGTTCTCTCAAGAGCAGATCTTGAAAGAGCTCTCTCAACCCCACCGACCTCACAGGGTGTCTGTTGTGGGGAGGGGAAGGGGAAGGAGTTTGTAAGCCGCTCTGCGACTCCGAGTGAAGGGTGGGGTATAAATCCAATCTCCTCTTCTTTTCTTCTTCAGTCTGCTTGTGGAAGGATATGTGACATGCAGCACAGCATGGTGCATCTTTTCTTCTGGGACCCTGCGGTCTGTCCCTGAGGTTCGTACAGGGAACCTGGACCGCAGGATGCTGAAACAGCCGACCTTGAGCAGAGGGCGGGGCCGTCTCCTCGACTTAAGCAAGCTTGCTAGACTGTGATGCAATAGCCAGATAACTCAATTTGGCTGTGGATCAACGGGCCTCTAACGGGTCTAATTTTATCTTTCTTCTTCCCCCCCCAGCTTGCTGAAGGAGCCAACGCTGCTTATTTTCAGTTGCTGAATCTATTTGCCTATGGAACATACCCAGATTATGTAGGTAAGCGAGGCTGGAATTCTAAAGAACCCCCTTCTACCCTCCCTAGCTTTTTATCACACTAGGGGAGCAAAACGAAGTAAGAGCATTAAGAGAACATAAGAGAAGCCAATGTTGGATCAGGCCAATGGCCCATCCAGTCCAGCACTCTGTCACACAGTGGCCAGAAATACCAGGTGCCATCAGGAGGTCCAGCAGTGGGGCCAGGACACTAGGAGCCCTCCCACTGTTGCCCCCCCCCAAGCACCAAGAATACAGAGCATCCCTTGCCCCAGACCGAGAGTTCCTATCTATACCTTGTGGCTAACAGCCACTGATGGACCTCTGCTCCATATGCTTATCTAAATCCCTCTTGAAGCCATCCATGCTTGTAGCCACCACCACCTCTTGTAGCAGTCAATTCCATGTGTGAATCACTCTTTGGGTGAAGAAGGACTTCCTTTTATCCGTTCTAACCCGACGGCTCAGCAATTTCATGGAGTGCCCACGAGTCCTTGTATCGTGAGAAAGAAAGAAAAGTACTTCTTTCTCTGCCTGCTCTTTCCCATGCACAATCTTGTAAACCTCGATCACGTCACCCCTCAGCCGTCGTTTCTCCAAGCTAAAGAGCCCCAAGATTGTGTTGCACAATCTGGGACGCTAAGGGGGAGCTAAAAATATCAGTAACGCGGCCAGTGTAGCCAGTGTTGGCCCTGAAGGATTTTAATACATAGTTCCCGGGTTTGGGGCCGCCCCATTTGCGTAATCTATTTCCCTTAGTTCTGGCCTAGCACAGAATGCTTAAAAGATGAACAAATGTCCTTATATTGGCCTGTCTGGCCCTGCTCGGTCTGCCCAGATGAGGAGTGTCCTGGCTTTCCAGTGAATCTACCAGAGGCTTTTCCAAGCCTGGCTATCCCTTAACTGGAGACGGTGGGGATTGGACCTGGAACCTTGCAAGTGTAGGCTGTTCCTCGAAGCTTGCAGTCTAGCAGAGCTAATTCACTGGTTTCCCTTTCCTGCTTTCATTTCAGTGTCTTTTAGCTCCCCGGCTCTTTTGAAATGTGGGAAACTGAAACCTGCCAGTTTGGTGTAGTGGTTAAGAGCACGGACTCTAATCTGCGAGAAGCGGGTTTGATTCCCCACTCCTCCACTTGCACCTGGCTGGATGGCCTAAGACAGATTATCCCTTGCCGCAGACTGACAGTTCCTGTCTGTACCTTGTGGCTAAGAGCCACTGATGGACCTCTGCTCCATATAAGAACATAAGAGAATCCATGTTGGCTCAGGCCAATGGCCCATCCAGTCCAGCACTCTGTCACACAGTGACACCTTTGGGTAGTGAAGGGCGGGGTATAAATCCCATCTCTTCTTCTTCTTCTTCTTCCTCTTTATAAAGGAAGAAGCTCTTATCAGAACTATGGCTTGCCCAAGGTCATCCAGCCAGGTGCAAGTGGAGGAGTGGGGAATCAAACCCAGTTCTTCCAGATTAGAGTCCACGCACTTAACCACTACACCAAACTGGTTGCTGTAATGAAGATTTTAGTCTTTCCCGTCCTGTCCCCCCCGATACCTAAACTTGATGCTGATCCAAAATTTGTCGTATGAACAAAGATGTTCTGGTCGACTTTTTAAAAGGGATAACTCTTAGAAAACCGGTTAAACGTGTAAAAACAACACACAAATAACTTCAGTCGACACATTCCACGTTTATGGGCATGGCGTTTTAGAGTGATGTGGCTCTTTTGGGCCGCCCGCCCAACTGAGGTATTACACTCAGGCTGTTTTGTAACGAAAACAGTCGCGTGCCGAGTGCATTGTGCATTGAGTGCATGATTCTGAATGGATTTAGAATCATAGAGTTGGAAGGGACCTCCAGGGTCATCTCGTCAAACCCCGTGCACAAGGGAGGAAATTCACAAATTCCTCCCCCCCCACACACACCCCCAGTGACAGTGTTCCCTCTAAGCTGAGTTAGTGTGAGCTGGCTCACAGTTTTTTAGCCTCCAGCTCACACATTTTTGTCTCAGCTCAGGAAGGACGGCACCAGAGCAAACTCATTGATGCAGCAGCCAAATCGCTCGCTCGGTACTTTAATGCCAGTAGCTCACAAGGTAGAATTTTTGCTCACAAGTCTCCATAGCTTAGAGAGAGCATTGCCCAGTGACCCCTGTTTCATGCCCAGAAGATGCAAAAAAAAAACCCTCTCCAGGATCCCCGGCCAAACCGGCCTGGAGAAAAATTGCTTCCTGCCCCCAAAGTGGTGATCAGCATTTCCCTGGGCTTGAACGTCTTGAGGCCCAGGTTCACACCTTCTGTGCTTGGGATTGCTGGTGCAATTCCTATCAAAGCATTTCATCCTGTTCACCCAGTGTCATCCCTCCCGTTCCTCCACACACTTGTCAAAAATTTGAGACAAAATGAATTAGGTGCTAGGAACAAAGCATTAACGTGTTGCGTTTTTGTTTCTGTGTAGCGTATGGGTTATGAGAGCCAGCGTGGTGTAGTGGTGAAGGGTGGCAGACTCTAAGCTGGAGAACTGGGTTTGATTCCCCACTCCTCCCCATGCAGCCAGCTGGGTGACCTTGGGCCAGTCCCAGTTCACTCAGAGCTCTCTCAGCCTCTAAAAACCAGTCTAGCTTGCCCACTAGCGTAACGCTAAGAGCTAGAACTTCCAGGTGCCAGACAATCTTAGGATCTCCTGGCTATTCCACACACAATGCCGTACTATAATTAATTAATAATGGATTGTGACCTTTAAAGGGTTCCCTGAAGGGGTGAGAGAGGCCCCATCCTTTACGAGGGATTAGATAAATTCTTAGAGGATAAGTCTATCAATGGCTACTAGCCGTAGTGGCTGAGGGGAACCTCCACGTTGAGGGGCACTAAACCTCTGAATCCCAGAGCCAGGAGGTAACATCAGGGGAAGGCCTCAGGCTCTCTCAGCCCTGTTGTAGACCCTCCAGAGGAAGTGGTTGGCCACTGTCTGAGACAGGATGCTGGACTAGGTGGACCACTGGTCTCATCCAGCAGGGCTCTTCTCATGTTCTTATGAAGGCCTCGGCCTCTCTGCCCTGTTGTTGGCCCTCTAGATGAACTGATTTGCCACTGTGTGAGACAGGATGCTGGACTAGATGGACCACTTGTCTGATCCAGCAGGGCTCTTCTGAGGTTCTTATGAAGGCCTTGGCCTCTGTGCCCTGTTGTTGGCCCTCCAGAGGAACTGGTTAGCCCCTGTGTGAGACAGGATGCTGGACTAGATGGACCACTGGTGTGACCCAGTAGGGCTCTTCTTGTGTTCTTATGAAGGCCTCGACCTCTATGCCCTGCTGTTGGCTCTCCAGAGGAACTGGTAGGCCACAGTGTGAGACAGGATGCTGGACTAGATGGACCACTGGTTTGACCCAGCAGGGCTCTTCTTGTGTTCTTATGAAGGCCTCTGTGCCCTGTTGTTGGCCCTCCAGAGGAACCGGTTAGCCCCTGTGTGAGACAGGATGCTGGACCAGATGGACTATTGGTCTGATCCAACAAGGCTCTTCTTATGTTCTTATGAGATCTCCAGGAGGCGCTGCAAGGCCTGGCTGTTTGCCAGGGCTTTTGAAGGTGTATGAATTGCAGGCGTCTTTTGAGGGGGGGGGATTTGGGGTTTGCCATTTTATTTTGGGTTTTAAACTGGAAATGATTTTAAGTCTTCTTGCAAGCCACCTTGAACCACAAGGAAAGGTGGGATATAAATATTTTAATAAATATACAAGTGTTGAAGCGCCAGCCGCCTCATCGATCTTCTTTTGTATTATAAACACAAGCGCACGGTTAAACGGTGGGTCGGACCCTTCTCTCCAGAGGAGGTGATTCTCCGAACACTCTGTGCGCTCTCTTCCACTCGCTTAGCTCTTACAGGGAGAGGGAGGAGATTCCTCTTTGCTCCAGAGAGCTCCGCTTCTAAGAGCCCGAAACATGTAAGAATCATGTTGGGGGCGCCTCAAGATTCTTTAAAAATTCCATCTCTCGCACAGCAAACAAGAACAACCTGCCGGAGCTAACGGGGGCCCAGAAGAACAAGTTGAAGCATTTAACGATCGTCAGCTTAGCTTCCAGAATGAAGGTAAGCTGTCAGAGACCAGCCGTCCGGGCAAGGGCACACCACTGGCACCATTGCGCGCATCGGCAGTGGGGAGCGTGTGAGGTTTGGCAGAGCCACTGGAGCCATCCCCCGTCACTCACGAGAGGCCGTTTCGGAATTGACTCGATGCCTTTTCGAGCAGCAGTGAGAGCCAGAGAGAGCGGCTGGTTCCTGGGCCCACGAGCAGTGTTCCCTCTAAGCTGAGTTAGTGTGAGCTAGCTCACTTTTTTTTTTAGCCTCCGGCTCACAAGATCTCACAAGAGAAAGCTAGCCTGGGCCATACGAGAAGGGTTTGGGCGTGACGATACATGTATTTTGTCATATATCCTGACCGCAGCCAGAATTCTCGTTGTTAAATGTTGGAACGCAGAGAAATTACCCACTAGAGAAGAGTCGGTTACTAAAATATCTGAACTTGCAGAAATGGACAAATTGAATACGATACTTTCAGGAAAAGATGGACAGGCTTTTCCAAAAAAGAACATACAAAAATATACATATATTTATTGAACACAAATTAAAATAACAAATAAGGGCCCATTCATACCTCATATACAAATATAAAAATACAAAAATACAAAGGCCTTCACAAGAACATCAGAAGAGCCCTGCTGGATTAGATGCCCTGTTATTGGCCATTCAGAGGAACTGGTTGGCCGCTGTGTGAGGCAGGATGCTGGACTAGATGGGTCACTGGTCTGATCCAGCAGGGCTCTTCTGAGGTTCTTGTGAAGGCCTCGGCCTCTCTGCCCTGCTGTTGGTCCTCCAGAGGAACTGGTCGTCCCCTGTGTGAGGCAGGATGCTGGGCTAGATGGACCACCGGCCTGATCCAGCAGGGCTCTTCTGACGTTCTTACGGGTGTTACTCTCTCCCCGGCCCCCAGTGCATCCCTTATTCTGTGTTACTGAAAGACCTGGACATGCGGAACCTGCGGGAGCTGGAAGACCTGATCATCGAAGCCGTTTACACGGACATCATCCAGGGGAAGCTAGACCAGCGGAACCAGGTGCTGGAGGTGGACTTCTGCATCGGCAGGGACATTCAGAGGAAGGACATCAGCAACATCATCAAAACACTTCAGGAGTGGTAAGTCTGCTGCCCGGCTGGCTGTGGATCGTGAGGCGCCCCCTTCTCCGCCCCCGCTGCTCCAGTTCCTGGCCCGAAATTCCAACCGGCTGACCGCGCCGGTGTTTTGTTTGCAGGTGTGACGGGTGCGAATCGGTCCTGATAGGAATCGAGCAGCAGGTGCTCCGAGCCAACCAGTACAAAGAGAACCACAACCGGACTCAGCAGCAGGTGGAGACAGAGGTGGGTATCCCAACCCGGAGAGCTGTTCAAGCAAGTCGCAGGCATTGTGCCTTTCCCTCGCCCGCTTCAGCCCATTGTCGTAACGCAGGGGTCCCATAATGGTGGCTGAGGGGAACCTCCACGTTCAGAGGCACTAATCCTCTGAATCCCAGTGCCAGGAGGCAACGTCAGGGGAAGGCCTCGGCCTCTGTGCCCTGTTCTTGGCCCTCCAGAGGAACTGGCTGGCCACTGCATGAGAGAGGATGCTGGACTAGACGGACCGCTGGTCTGATCCAGCAGGGATCTTCTGGTGTTCTTACGAAGGCCTCGGCCTCTATGCCCTGTTGTTTGCCCTCCAGAGGAACTGGTTGGCAGATGTGTGAGACAGGATGCTGGACTAGATGGACCACTGGTCTGACCCAGCAGGGCTCTTCTGATGTTCTTACGAAGGCCTCGGCTTCTATGCCGTGTTGTTGGCCCTCCAGAGGAACTGTTTGGCCACTGTGTGGGACAGGATGCTGGACTAGATGACCCCTCACTGGTCTGATCCAGCAGGGCTCTTCTGGTGCTCTTATGAAGGCCTCAGCCTCTCTGCCCTGTTGTTGGCCCTCCAGAGGAACTGGTTGGCCACTGTGTGAGACAGGATGCTGGACTAGATGGACCCTCACTGGTCTGATCCAGCAGGGCTCTTCTGATGTTCTTCTGAAGGCCTCGGCTTCTATGCCCTGTTGTTGGCCCTGCAGAGGAACTGGCTGGCCCCTGTGTGAGATGGGATGCTGGACTGGATGGACCCTCACTAGTCTGACCCAGCAGGGCTCTTCTGAGGTTCTTATGAAGGCCTCGGACTCTCTGCCCTGTTGTTGGCCCTCCAGAGGAACTGGCTGGCCCCTGTGTGAGACAGGATGCTGGACTAGATGGACCCTCACTGGTCTGATCCAGCAGGGCTCTTCTGATGTTCTTCTGAAGGCCTCGGCCTCTCTGCCCTGTTGTTGGCCCTCCAGAGGAACTGGTTGGCCACTGTGTGAGACAGGATGCTGG